GCGCATGCCTCGAGGCACGCGAGAAAACTGCTTTCTTACGAGGTCTTGTACTCTGAGTGACCTCGTCTGTGGCGTCAAGAGTTAGGACAGACACGACCACTACAGGTTTTCCATCAAATACGTGATCGGCAAGATTTAACATTTCTGACTGATTTACTCGGACAACTCGGAACTTGAGTCCTGGCCGGTTCCAAGAAGCAGTTCAGAAGAAGAAGTATATGCGATCGCTGGAACATTGTGTTTATTGGCCCGACTTTTCGGAATCTCTCTCGAACCCATCCTCAGAGACAGTTGTAGTTATGCACCCTCTCCTACCTTTTTTTCTGTAACTTTCTCTGCTGATGAGGGGTTCAAAAGAGGTCACGAAACGCCAGGCCAATAAACACGATGTTTCAGCGATCGCACACACCTTTTCTTCTGGATTGCTTCCTGGAACTCGCCTGTTCACTTCTATCGGCTAGGGAGGATTTTCGCTGATTTAGGAAGGTTTGCTTTTTTCTTGGGTATCAAATCGGCAGCCCTCAAATATGATAGCATGTAGACGAAAGTTTTGCCTCTCCTATTACATCAACGGAGCAGTTTCTTTCACATAAGGAACCGGTGTCATCTTTCAGTGCGAGGAATGTAACCCTGAACTGAGCTCTTTTATTTCGATCAATAAAGGCTTATCGGTAATGGTACGAAGTCAAAGAGTTCAATCCGTCCCCTACTGCGCATACTTCTGTTCTTATACGAAACTCTCCCATAGCCTAGCCGGACGTAGGAAACCTCAACACCGTTATGGTAACTAACGAACTCGCTGGAGCCGATGTGACGACAAGATAGGAAAATGGTGGAACCGATTCTCTCTCTCTCTTACTCCTTTTTTTTTAATCGCCTCCGTTAATTAGTTCCGAACCCAGACGGAATCCGAAGTGCGCACCCTGCTGATCGAGATGGCGCATCGTCGTGAAAGCACGAACGTTCTCCCGAGCTCTAGGGCTGGCATGGTTGCATCACCCAGTCGACGCGACGTTCTACGACACGAGAGTCCCCGCTACTACCGGAAGCCAGTTCGTGTGGCACGGACTGTCCAGCGGATACCAGTGACACAGCGAAATCTCAGTGACCAGGGCCGGCCACCGGTGGAGGCCATCATCGGAGAACCCGTCCTCTCCGAGAGGACAGTCTAAGTTGTTGCGGCGGCGGAGTTCTAGTTGCCTTGTACGTGCGGAACTGCTGTTTAACTGTTTAATTTTGGTCTCTTCGACACACTCAGGACGTGTGGCGGGAATAAAATTTCAAAAAACAGTCTTGCTGTTTAATTTCCTAATTTTTGATTAAATTTCTGTTGTCACGCGCAGGCAAACATTTACCGATAAAGTATACTTAGCGCACACACTGTTAGTTTGGTAGTTTCTGCACCTCTCTGGGAAAAGAAGAAAAGAGTTTTGCAGCTCTAGTCTAGTCTTGCATTGGCTTGGTTGCTCGACAGTGTATGAGGATTGCAGTATATTCATTGTACACAACTAGCGTCTGAGGGCTGGGGCAGGCGGTGCATTGCTTGTTTCAACATGTGCATTGTATTGCCATCCTATAGGTGATGCACGGAAGTGAGGTAGCCTGGTTCGGAAGAAATATACGTGAATGAACTCGTTCACATCGAACTGATGTCGTAGGAGTAAATACAACGGCATCTCATTGAGGAACGTTCACCTGACCGCTAACGGAACTCATCCGTCTGGCTCTGCCTGAGGTCTCGACAGAGGCCCTAACAGCTGGTAGCGTAGGCAGGTAGTATTACCGTTCATCAACGAGTGTCAATATCCCTCGACTTAATCCGACAAGACAACGAGCTTTTGGCTAAAGGGTTAGGGCTTTTGACTCTGAGTTCGAGGCTCAGATGGGACGCCTCTTGGATTTAGGTATGACTGGCTGACGACGGCTAATAAACCAGAAATAGCCATACCAATTTCCCTTGTCTTTTCCAGTAATACCATCTGCCTGAAATGGCAACTTTTGTGAGCGACAAAACTGTCTTGTTTCCGACTCCTAACTTCCCTCTCCCAACGGCAACTGATTGCCTTAAGTATTTACTTTGTTTGGGGCAGGAGAGGTGAGAGATTTGGTCGTGCATAACCGCTAGTAATCGTAATAAAAACAACAGCAGTGATAGTAGTAGTGATCGTAGAAATAATAGTAGTATGAACGGGGCTAGCAGTAGCAGTACTAGTAATAGATATGATTGTATTTCGATAAATATAATAGCAGTGGCTATATCAGTAGTAGGAATAATAGTATAGTGACAGGGATAGTAAGAATTGTAGTAATAGCAGCAGAAGTATTACAAAAACAAGCACTCTAATGGATAGATTGGACAGGACTATTAGTTAAAGCAATATTAATAATAGTGGATGTGTTGGATGTTGACATGATAATTATACGACAATTTGGCTCACCGTCATTAGACGCGCTGGTCGCCCGCGCCCTCCCCCGTGACTGATTCCCTTGCTCAGGCAATGTC